GGTCCAACTTCACTCTCTGCACATGTATACCCGGTTTTCCAAGCACCACTTGTGGAACTGGCTGTCTTTTCTCCAGAGTGATGTTGGTACCTAGTGAAAGATCCTGTGATCATATATGTGTGAATTTATTTCTGGACTCCCTATTCTATTTCACTGGTCTATATGTTTGTCTATGCCATTATCACAATGATTTGATTACTGTAACTTTGCAGTAAGTTTTGAAACCAGAAAGTGTGAGACCTCCAATTTTACCCTTTTACAAGAATATCTGGTAATTCAGGATTCCTTGAGATTTCACATGAATTTCAGAATGGACTTTTCTATTTCTGTAAAAAAAAAAAAAAAGTGCTACTGAGATCCTGAAAGGGATCCAAAAGTGCCAAACTGTTTCCCAAAGTGGTTGTACCATCGTACAGTTCCACCAACTGTGTATTAAAATCCAGTTAGGCCATATCCTCACCAACACTTAGTCTGGCTAACTTTCATTCTAGCCATTCTAGTAGATGTGCAGTGGTATCTTGTGCCTTTAAATTTGCACTTCCTTAATGACTTATGATATGAGCATATTCTCATGTGTTTATTTGCCATCCATATGTCTTCTTCGGTGAGGTACCTGTTCAAATTCCTTGCCCATTTTTAAATTGAGTTGTTTTCTTGTTACCGAATTCTAAGAGCTCTTTATATATTCTGAATCCATGTTCTTCAACAGATGATTATCAGTCTGTAATTTGTCTTTTTACTCTCTTAACACTGTCTTTTGAAGAGCAGAAACATTTAATTTTGATGAAGTCCAACGTATCAATACAATAGACCCCCTTCTCCATGGTTTCCGTTTTTGAGGTTTCAATTACACATGGTCAGTTGTGGTCTGAAATATTAAATAAGAAGTTCCAGAAATAAACGATTCATAAGTATGAATGTGCAGTGGTTCTGAGTAGGGTGATGAAATCCTGTGCCACCCCACTCCATCCCACTAGTGACATGCATCATTCCTTTGTCCAGTGTATCCACAGTGTACACACTATCTGCCTTTTAGTCACTTAGTAGTCATTGAAGTTATCAGATTGACAGTCAAAGTATCTCAGTGTTTGTGTTCAAGTCACCCTTATAGTGCGTTTTGTACACTGTCACAGTGCCTCCATCATATGGCTCATTTGATCTCATCACACAGGCATTGTATTATTTCACATCATCGCAAGGAGGGTGAGTACAATACAATACGGTACTCTGAGAGAGAGACCACATTCAAGTAACTTTTACTATAGTGTATCGTTGTAACTGTTCTACTTTATTATTGATTATAACTGTTAATCTCTTACTGAGCATAATTTATAAATTAAACTCATCACCAACCACTGGGTTTCTTGGAACATATTCCCCTTGAATAAGGGGAACTACTGCATGTTCATTGTGGATTGTGCTTTTTGTGTCATATTTTAAAAATTATTGCCAAATTCCAGGTCACAAAGATTTTATACTTTGTTTTCCTCTACAAATTTTATAGTTTTGGGTTTAATTCTTACTTTTCATTCCTTCCTGTGCTCATTTTTTTCTTAAAGAAATTTTTGGGGTACCTCCTTCAAGTAGAACCTGGGAGGTAAACTCCTCATTAGAAAGGTCTTTACAGTGTCTCCACTCAGTGTACCAAGCTTGCTAAACTCGCAGTTTAGCTGAGTGACTCAGGCATCTCTCAGCACTCTGTGTATATTATTCTATTGTCTTCTGCCTTCTACAGCTGCCATGAAGAAATCTGGGTTAATCTAATGGAAATTCTTTTATAATTTTTTTCTGTAAGTGCTTTTGAAACAATATTCTTTCATTTTGTTACATCTATACGTATGGATTCAAGTTTACTTATCCAACTTGGGACCTGTGTTTCCAAATCTTTACATTCATGTCTTCTAACATTTCTTTAGATTTTGCTGTTACTTTACTTCTCACTTTCTGGAACTCTTCTTGAGGAACATAATGAAATTGTTCATTCTTTCCTTCAAACCACGTAACTACTCTTTGTATTTTTTATAACTTGTTTTGCTTTACAGAACTCATTAATTCTCCATTCAGCTGGATTTTGTCTTTTTATGTAATGCAATGAATTAAAATTAAAAAATTTTTTTTAAATCTTTGCCCGAGGCCCTCTTTTCATTGTTTTTAGAGAGAGAAGAAGAGGGACAGAGAGAGTAAGAAACAGCAGTGAGAGAGAGAAATACGGACTGGTTGTCTCCTGTACGTGCCCCAATAGGGGATCAAACCCACAACCTTTTGGTGTATGGGACAATGTTCCAACCAACTGAACCACCCAGCCAGGGACCTTTTTATAAAGATTTCAGGCCAGTGCTCAGTCCACTGAGCCACACCAGCAGAGGCTGTAGCTATCTTTACATATTGAAATTTTATTTAAAGTGCTACATCACTACTTCCTCAAATCAGCACCAATGTGTTAATTTTTCCCCTAGTGACAACTGTCTCTTTTGAACTTTCTAGTTTTCCTTTATTCTGTATTGTTTGAACTTTTCTAACTGTATTATGAAAAATTTCAAACATACAAACATTAGAATAGTACAAATAACCTTCAATTTCTCTAATTGATGCAAAATTATTTTTTCATATTTGTTTTTCTTTCTATATATTTTGTTTTCCATCATACCTTTTGACAGTAAGTTCCAAATTAATTGAGACAGAAGTCAGAACAATGGTTACTCTTGAGGGTGGGTACTGAACTGGGGTTGGGGAACACAGGAGAACCCTCTCACGCACCAGACATGTTCTCTATCTTGATCTGCATGGCAGTTACACTTGTAAAAAGTCACTGAACTGGACACTTGAGATTCATATGCTTTAAGTTATATTTCAAAAAAAGAGGGTGGCGGGAGTTGCAGGCATAATGACAACATACCCCTAAGTACTTATGCACGTATTTTCTAATAAAGACATTTTCCTACATAATAACTATTATCACACCTTAAAATTATTAATTCTATAGTAGCATCTAATATTCAGTCAACATTAAAAATTTTCTAAGTCTCAAGAATGCCTTTTATAGCTCTTCCCATCTTAGTCCCAAATCAGGCCACACACTTTATTTAGTTGTTATGCCTCTTTAGTCTTATTTAGCGTAGAATAATACGCAACCTTTTAATCTCCATGACATTGAGGTGGTTTGTCTTAGAAGATGTACACATTCTGATTTTGCTTGTTTCCTCACTGCGCCTAACACCCTGTGTTTCTTGTAAAATGGAAGATACAGAAACTTGACAACTTGCAATCATTTTTAGCAATACTTTATGGGTGATAACTGTTATCCACTGACTTGTTTTGTTCTTGTTAAAAAAATTTTCCCGAATTTTTTGAGGTGATATTGGTTAATAAAAATATACAGGTTTCAGGTGTACAAATCTATGACACGTCACCCGCACATTGTTTTGTGTGTTCACCACTCCGAGTCAAGTCTCCTTTCATCACCATCTACCGCTTCTTTACCCTTTTACCTCCCCTCCCTCCTGCCCCTCCGGTAATCACCACACTGTTAACTGTGTATGTAACTTTTTATTTATTTATTTGGCTTAATCTCTTCACCAAGCTCATCCTCCTCCACTCCGACAGCTGTTGGTCTGTTCTCTGTTATCTATGAGTCTGTCTCAATTTTCTTAGTTTGTTTTGTTCATTAGACTCCACACAGTAAAATAATAAGGTACTTGTCTTTCTCTGACTAGCTTATTTCACTTAGAATAAGATTCTGCAGGTCCATCTAGGCTGTTGCAAAAGGTAAGATTATCTTCTTTTTTAAATTTAAAAACCGCCTGGAAGTTCTATTTTGTTCTTTCTCAGAAGTTTAGCCCAGCTGTTTCTAAATCTTCTAACTCACTGTTAGGCAGTTTCCTTGTGTATTTTATAAACTGGATTTTGAGCTTGTCAGTGGGGCTGTCTCTGTAAATTCCGTGAGACCTAAATGGGCCAGGGAGGATTTGCATTTGCGTTTGCCCTGTTCCGAGTGCTATTAACATTCTAGGAGCAGTTGTTACGTTAATTTCCTGGGTTGAAAACCTCACACCATGGTGAAACCAGATCTATAGTTAAGAGTTCACAGGGTAATCTTTAACCTTCATCTGGAGCCCTGACAAAGACAGACAAGCTTTATTGCTACTTACGCATGTTGGTGAATAAATTTTCTTCCAGTTCACCCTTTTGCTGAAGGTAAAGCTCCTCAAGGCTCAGCTTTATATAAAGATCTGAGTGCCAACTACGTCTGTGACCCTGGCTGAAGGCCTAGTCTTTGTTCCCATACGCTGACCTTCATATCCATCCCTATGTTACACATGGTGAAAAACTGACCCCACTGGGGGTTACTGTAACACAGATGAACAAACTTTCCATGAAGAACCAGCGTTACTACTGATGCCATCTCAGAAAAATAATTAAAAACTACTTTGACTTTAGTTGTATTGGAAAATGAAGTGTTTTTTTGTTAATATCAAAAGCAACCATATACATGATAAAAGTAGTGATATAGGCAGGTGCCATATTTACTAAGTCTAATGACAGTACTTGCTACACTTGAGAATTACAGACCATCCAAATTAATTTCCTTGCTCTAAATGTTACTTACAGAGTACTCTGTTCTAATGGTGACACTAATGATCAACAATTAAAGTTATATAAACAGGAGGAAAAATAAATTCAAACAGAGATTTCTCAAGGGTGAAAAGTGAATCTTATATGATAGATGTTAGACAACAAGCAAGTACTAGTTTAAAAATCTGATCGATTTTGAACTAGTACTTAGACTTCAGTGTCAAATCTGACACTAGACATAATACTATTTATTACAGTTAAGGAACACACTTTGGCACCAAATAATTGTCTTTTCCTCCCTTGTTTGAAATGGATGTTTCAATTTGCATGACCACTGAGTATGAAGTGATAATATATTTCATTTTCAACAACTGGTCTTTCTGAAAAATACAAAGAAAAGGCAACGATGATATTAAAAGCCAACTCACCACTGTCCTCTGTTTGTTGGGCAGGAAGACTCTAACAATAGGTTTCTGTGGTGACTTAGGGTTGCTCCGTGACACATCTGTGGGACTTTGAAAAACTGAAAGAGATGAAGGTAGCACTGAAAGGCTAGAGGAGGAAGAAGATGTAACGGTGTCCGTTGATGCAGAGCTAGAAACAGAAAAATCAGTTCCATTCCCCAGGGATTCCAGTAACTGTTGTTCTCTTTGCTGGAGGGCGTCTAGCTTGCTGGTGTATTCTTCATAGGCCTACAAAATAAAGTAGACTTACACTGAGTCTGGACTTTACCCTGACAGTAACAAATGGAAATACAAAGTTTAAGTCCTTGTTTATAATCTCTTTATAACTTAGCTAATAGGGTTCTAAGTTATGTTATAAAATAAGCACTGAAAAGTACTGTAAATGAACACCTTTACCTTGAAATTGATAAATCTTTTGTTATACTATATTACATTGAGACACTGATACACATATATAAAAGAGATGTCTAGAATATCTATGAGTATTAATAAATGAAAATAGTATAAAACACTATACTATATCAAGGATAAATACCCTCTTCATTAAAATCTTTTTTCTCAAAAAAGTTGTAAACATGTGAAATTTTACACCCCTCTTCCCCTGCTCCAAGAACAAACAAATTGTAAAGCAGATGAGGTATTAGATTTGTCAAAGACAAGAGTCGTGTTCACACTGCCAGAGCTCACCATTACCACCAAAATCTCTTCAACAGGGCTTAGAACAGGGGTGTCAAACTCATTTTCACTGGGGGCCACATCATCCTCACAGTTGCCTTCAAATGGGCCGAATGTAATTTTAGGACTGTATAAGTGTAACTAGTCCTTAACCAGGGGTAAGAAGTTTGGCACTGCCACCTGGCCAGATAAAACAAGGTAGAGGGCAGGATTTGGCCCATGGACCTTGTGTTTGCCACATGCGGGTTAGAAGATGTATAACTGTTATCTTCCTTCTGAAATAGCTATCAGTTAAAATACTTTACTCCTCTCACTATGGATCTCTGATGACCTCCTTCCTCATCAAATATTGCTTAGAGAATAAAATTTTATTTGAAAGGTGGCTCATAAAATGCAGACAAGAAATTCTGGGATCACTGTCCTTTTCTGACTAAGGCTATAAGGTCAAATGACCACATATATCATATTCTAAGCATAAGAAGAATGCTGAAAATGGAATGATATTGAAGGAGATGGAATGAACTGAAATATACATGTCCATGGTTCTTGAATACAGTGGTAATCAACACCGTGGTCCACCATGGTAGTGCACCCAAATAGATGCAGTACTACATTTATGAAAAGCAACAAGGAGAATAAAAGATTTAGAAATGGCAGTACTCATCTCTCAAGTTCATTAATTGACTGCAGAGAAGCAGATGAATGTATTTTTATTGGTATAAATGCTACAGATGACAAATAAAAAATTCTTGATAAAAGAATGAGGAAGGAGGGGGGCCTTAAAACATTTAGATGGATGGAGTAAGAAGGGAGAAGAGGGTACTGTGTACAGGATAAACTGTGTAACAAAATAAGGAGGTAGAAGAACATTGTAAGACATCGGGAAAAATCATCGACTAGTATAGCTGAATGTCATATAATACCTGGGACACAGTAAGGAATCAATACATATTTGTAGAATTTAAATGAAGACTAGAAACAGGCATGAACAATAAGACTAAAAAGTGGGTAAGGGACCACATTGTAGACAATATCATGCTATAAACCCTGAATTTCATTCTAGAAGCAAGAAAGAATTATCAAAGATAGAAGAGAATGAAGGAAAAATTTCATTTCAAAAAAGGCCACTGACTGTACCTGGTGTATTGGATCTTACCATATAATTTAGGGGTGGGGAGAGAAGAAAACACTAAAATGAGCTACTGAGGTAAAGAGCCTTCTTTACAACCTACAAGCTGCCCTACCCTGACTATGAAATGTTTTATTAGCATCCCAAGGCCTAAGAACCAAAATGTTCTGCGCTGTATTCTATATAACTTTTAGTTCCAAGTGCTAATCATTTAAGGGTGGCTCTTTTAATATGATCCATTTATTGAGCCTTCAATAAATAAATAAGTAGAGGTGAAGGGAGAGAGAGGGAGGGAGGGAGAGAGGGAGAGAGAGAGGGAGGGAGGGAGGGAATGTGTGCATGCTTACATGTGCTTGGCAGAGTTTGGGGCTCAGTCTAGAAAAACAACAACCAATGAAATTCCTACCCTTTGAAGATTGTACACATGCAGTCTGATAGACAAAAGTTCCTCCTTCCATAGATCAAATATTATTTACTGAGCAGCACATTCACCACACAAAGTTAGCCTTAGGAAAAGTAATACATGTAAATAATAAAAAAATTTCTGAGTGTTATTTATCAAAATGTTATCCTTAATTTTTGAAAATACACTGTTCCCTTCATGGTGGCTTACAAACAATTATTTCTCAGCATTTATCAGTACCTCTTCCTTTTTCTTAAGCATAAAACATTTACTTATTCTATCTCTCTCCACTGTCACAGCTTAATCTACCAAAGCACGTGTCTACCTTGTTTTGTACCTGGCTTGGCTCATGTCACCCTATTATCCTGGCTGCATTCAGTGTGGATGTTGGTTACTCTTTTAATACTCTTACCTTAAAGTTCTTTATACCTTGCATCTCTGAAGGCACTTATTTTCACACTATCTTCGACATCCAGAGCTATACTAGACAGCTCTTTACAAATGAGTCCCACATGATACTGAGATCTCCATCTGGAACCTCCCACAGCACTACGCACACACACGCGCGCACACACACACACACACACACACACACACACCCCATCTTCGTAAGTTTCCATCTCACTGTCATCTCACTACCCCAGTAACGTGTTCACGGTCAACATTAATCCCTTCAAGTTTCTCAGATTTGGGTCTTTGTTATCTTATTTTCCCTAAAGAATAGTGGCTCTCTATTTTAATAATGCCACTGGTAACACCTTAGATTCTCTGGCTAATTCTCATTCTTTCACCAACTTGCCTGTTAAGTACCAATCTTGGGTAATCTTATAACTCAATTATTCCATTTTTTCTCTCAAGTTTATATATATACACACAATATATTGCTGGAGAATATGATAAAGCTGGGCCAGTTAGATCCACAGTCAATTTATGGAACTTAGTCCTTCATACTACTGCCTGAAAATGTTATTTCTTAATATCATATTAAATTCTTCACAACACTTATTCCAACCTTTTCCATGCTTCTCCAGCTCCTAACTTCATCCCCATTCCAAACCTTTAATTCACTCAGAAAACAGTACCTTCAAATTTACTGAGGATCAAAGCCATCAAATAAAAGCTTCCTCGTCTACTCTAAGCCATTCTCCACATTTTCCCCCATCCTTTTTCTATTCTCAATTTAGTGACAGCATTGGTGTTGACCTGGCACATCTATCCCCCATTTACTCTCATTTCTGTTTTCTCACCCTACAAATGTAAGCCAAGTCCTCCCACACTACGGCACACCTCAACCACTGCCACCAACAAAACTCCCTTTGTTCAAGAGCTTGCAGATAGATACCAGATACTTCTTCATGAGACAGCTTTTCTAAAACCGCATTCTTTCTCAAAATCCTACTTATTTTTCAAAGTCTAACTGGAACCTCTCCTTGGTAAAAATATAAAAGTTACTTTCTGTACAGCTCCTTATGAGTTTTACCAGTCTTCTTTATGTGGCTAGTTTTTCCTCATTTGTGTAGTAATTTTGAGAATTAAAGGAGATAATATAAATAAAAAATTATTAGAGCCTATCATATAGCAAAAACCCAATGAATATTTTTATTAGTAATAGGCAGTACTACTAATTTTTGTTATGGTTATTACTGTATTACTTCTTTGAATTCTTGATGTGATTCTACTAAACTGGGGGCATGAAAATGTTATTCATTTTCAAACTAAAAAATACCCAATATGATTAAGATGACTCCTCCAACTGATCTATAGACTAATGCAATCCTTATCAAAATCTCAGATGGCTTTTTAAAAAAATGGACAAACTGATGTTAAAATTCACATGGAAGGGCAAAGGCTCAGAATAACCAAAGCAATCTTGAACAAGGACAAAGTTGGAGGATTCAGATTTCCTGATTTCAAAAGGTACTACAAAGCTACAGTAATTAAAACACATGGTACTAGAATAAGGACACATATATAGAACAAAACAACAGAGTTAAGAGTCCAGAAATAAAGGCTTACATTCGGGTCAACTGATTTTCTATTATTTTTACTACTTTAGTACAGACATAAAACAAGAACAGATCACTATATCTTCACCTATCTCTGATGTTAATTAATAGTTTTCTTCTGCTCTCTGAACTGTTTGAGTACCTTTTGACCACTTCTGCTGTTATCTTTCCTGTTAAAAGCTTTCTTCAAATATTTCGTTATTCTTAGATGTCCATTCATATTTATGAGTTAAGAACTCTTAAGATGTCAATACTACCCAAAGCAATCTATAGATTTGATGCAATCCCTATCAAATATCCAAGTGTGTTTGCAAAAATGGAAAAAAATCCATCCTAAAATTCATATAGAATCTCAAGGGATTCCAAATACAAAAAAGTTGAAGGTCTTAAACTTCCCGATTTCAACTTAGTTTTCACTACAGTTGTCAAATCAGTGTGGTACTGGCATAAAGTTAGACACATAAACCAATATAGAGAGCCCAGAAATAAATTCTCACATATGTGGTCAAATAACTTTTGACGAGGACATTTATCAAAATTTCCATTCAGTTTCCACCAAGATGGAGGCATAGGTGGAAACACTATGCCTTCTCGCCCAACCAAGTTTAAAAACAACAAAGTTTTAGCAACAAAAAAAACGCAGCCAAACCAAAGAAAATTGAACTCTGCGGAAGTCCAACAACAACAAACCATTCAGCCAGAATGGTAAGAGGGTTGGAGCCAGCAACGGAGCAGGTCAGGCAAAGAAGATCCCCCAACCCAGGCTCACAGGCAGAGAAGAGCAGATCCCAGGTGTGGGGTAGCAAGGGTGGACCTAGTGAAGGTGCAAAGTAGCAGGCTGACCGAGGTCACACATTCGAGCGCAGATAAACCACTGAAGGAGCCAGCAGTGAGACAGACTGCGCAGGCCCCAGCAGCTTTCTGGAAGCAGCAGAGGGGACCACTATTGCTCCCTCTCTGACACTGCCCCCACATACAGCATCACCAACCAGTGACCTGGGTGGCCCCACCCTGGTGAACACTTAAGGCTCCCCTCCTCATACGTAACAGGCACAAATAGACCAAAAATGGCTCAAGAAGAACTCAAAGCCCCAGAGCCCATAACTCTAAGTGATGAAGAAATAGCCAAACTTTCAGATGCACAGTTCAAAACACTGGTGATCAGGATGCTCACAGAACTGGTTGATTTTAGTCACAAATTAGAGGAACAAATGAAGGCTAAACTAATTGAAATGAAGGGAAATGCACAGGAAACTAACAGTGATGGAAAGGAAAACTGTGACTCAAATCAAGGGAGCGGACCAGGAGGAAGAAAAAAAGACCAAACAGAAAAGGATGAAGAAACAAGAATTCAAAAAAAATGAGGAGAGGCTTAGGAACCTCCAGGACAACTTTAAATGCTCCAACTCCGAATTATAGGGGTACCAGCAGGGGAAGAGGAACAGCCACAAGTGGAAAACTTATTTGAACAAATAATAAAAGAGAACTTCCCCAATCTGGCAAAGGCAATAGACTTCCAGGAAATCCAGGAAGCTTAGAGAGTCCCAAAGAAGTTGGACCCAAGAAGGAACACACCAAGGCACATCATCATTACATTAGCCAAGATTAAAATGAAAGAGAGAATCCTAGAAGCAGCAAGAGATAAGGGGACTGTCACCTACAAAGGAGTTCCCATCAGACTGTCAGCTGATTTCTCAAAAGAGACCTTACAGGCAAGAAGGGGCTGGAAAGAAGTATTCCCAGTCATGAAATCCAAAGACCTACAACCAAGATTGCTCTATCCAGCAAAGCTTGCATTTAGAATGGAAGGACAGATAAAGTGCTTCTCAGATAAGATCAAATTCAAGGAGTTCATTAACACCAAGCCCTTATTATATGAAATGTTAAAGGGACTTATCTAAGAAAAAGAAGATAAAAAAGATGAACAGTGAAAGGACAGCAAACTCAGTTAATAACAACCACACCTAAAACAAAAGCAAACTAAGAGGACAGCTAGATCAGGAGCAGAATCATAGAAATAAAGATCACATGGAGGGTTAGCAACAGGGGAGTGGGAGAAGGAGAAGGGGGGAGAATGTACAGAAAATAAGTAGCACAGATGGTAGGCAGAAAATAGATAGGTGGGAGGGCAAGAATAATAGGGGAAATACAGAATCTAAAGAACTTGAGACACGTGTTCATAAACTAAAGGGGGGAATGGTGGAGGAGGGGATGTGCAGGGTGGAGGGAAATGAAGAGGGGGGAAATAGAACTGTAATGGCATAATCAATAAAATATAGTAAAAAAACATTTCCATTCAGTGAGAAAGGTTTTTTCAGCAAATGGCAGTGGGAAAACTGGATATGCACATGCAAAAGCTGGACCTTTACTTTATAGCCTACACAAAAATTAACTCGCAATGGATCAAAGACCTGAACATACAAACTAAAACCACAAAATTCTTAGAAGAAAATGTAAGGAAAGGCTTTATGACAGGCTTATATGACAAGCCTAAAGCCTTAAAGGCTTTAAGGCTTTCCTTAAAACGTAAGGAAAGGCAAACTGAGTTTGGCAATGATTTATTGGATATGATACCAAAGGCACAAGCAACAAGAGGAAAAACAAGTTAATCAAAATAAAAAACTTTTATCACGAATCAAAGGACACTATCAACAGAGTGAAGGGGGAACCCACAGAATAAAATATTTGCAAATTATCTGTCTGATTAGAATTGACATTCAAGATACATATTTGGAATATATAAAAAACTCCTACAACTCAACAATAAAAAACAACCCAATTAAAAAATGGGCAAAAGACCTGAATAGATGTCTCTCCACAGAAGAAATACAAATGGCCAATAAGTACACAGGAAGATATTAGTCATCAGGGAAATGCAAATCAAATTAAAAAAACAGAAAATACATTTTGGCAAGTATATGGAGTCAGTGGAACTCTTGTGTATTGTTAGTAGGAATGTAAAATGCAGCTGCTATTGAAAACAGTATGACAATTTCTTAGAAGATTAAATATATAATTATCACATGATTCAGTCAATCTCACTTGTGGTATTAACCCAAAGAAATAAAAAATCAGACACTCAAACAAGTATTTGTATACTTGTGTTCATAGCAGCTTTATTCACAATAATCAAAAGATAGAAGCAACCAATAACTGATGGTTATCCATTGAGAGATGAACAGATAAACAAAATGTGGGGCAAAGTAGGTTCACAGTTCTGAGTATAAAAAAGAATTTATTCTTATATTATTTATTGTTATATGACTTTTCCAAGTGAACAACCGTCAAGCTACTTTTGCCCCACTCTGTAAACATACAATGGAATATTATTCAATGTTAAATAGGAAGAAAACTTTACACACGATACAGTATGGATGAACACTGAAGACATTATGGTAAGTCAAATAAGCCAATCACAAGACAACAAATATTCTATAATTCCTCGTTATATGAGGTTCATAGTCTAGTCAAATTCATAGAAACAGAAAGGACAACAGTGAGTCTTAGTGGGTAATCAGCAGACCTGGCTTTTTACTGAAGGGACTTCAAACACCAGTACTCACGGGACTCTACCCTGGGTCAACTTTCTGCAGGGAAGAATACTGTCACCTCCAGCTAGGCTCCTCTCTCCATAATGTATCAAAAGATGGGAAGTTCAGTGTCTTAACTCATTTATATGTTTATTATTTGCACTCCCATCCCTTGATTAAAATACAAACTGCTTAAAGATAGAGATTTTTGTTGTTTTATTAAAAAAAATTGTCATATCCCACCCTGGATGGGGGGTTCAGTTGGAACGTTGTCCTGAACACCAAAAAGCTGCGGGGTGCATTTGCAGCAGGGCACCTACCTAGGTTGTAAGTTCAATCCCCAGTCGGGGTGCAGATGGGATTGTGACCAATGTTTTTCTCTAACATTAATGTTTCTTTTCCTTTCTCTCACTCTCAAATCAGTAAACAGATCCTTGGATGAGGATTAAAAAAACCTGCTATATCCTCAGAGCCTAGGAAAGTATAAATGTGAGCAGGCACTCAACATGTATCTGTTGAATTTTTGGCGCACTTAATGTGTCCGGAACTATGCTATTTCATATTTATAAATTCAATTCATCCCTAAATTACCACATGTGTGATATTATTCCCATTTTACCAATGAGGTGAAATATGGAGAGGTTAAGTAACTTGTATGCAGACTAAGGTACGGGTAGGATTAACACATAGGGTCTGTGACTCCATGATTCATGTTAATCACTGTATTATACTGCCTTCTATAAAGAAATTGTATAGTGTTAGTCCCAAAAATAAGAATCTACACGCTAATGATATAACCTATGAGTTATAGTCTGCTTTATGCTGCCCAACTAAGATGTAACTCGAATAATGAAAAGCCTGAAGGATATGTGTGTGGAAGGAGGCAGTGAATCCCTGCTACAGTGAGAAATGATTACTAAGGCAAATGTATTAAATGTCTCCTAGACAGAGAAATGCTTGGCAGAAAAAAACTGCTGGTTAAGTTATTTAATTCTGATTAACAAAGAATTACTATTTTTCCCCAGGACTATTTTCTTCCTTATGATTCCTTTGCTTGTCCTCAGACATACAAGTAAAACAGAAAGCATGGAATATTAGAAAGTAAAGTATTCAGAGGTATGAACTCCAGTCCTGGCGCTGACATTAACTTGCAATGTGCTCTGGAATAAGCCATAAGAGAATAGCATATTAGCAGTTATTTCCAAACTTCCAAATATGTATTAGAAATACAAAATTACTTTCTCAGGAAATACTCAATATTTACCTTGCCCTTTAAAAAGTAATTAGATTACTAACATTAGAAATTTAGTTTAGGAGTTTGTCAATTCATGCCTAAAAATCTCTGGCATCTGAAGGCGAAGGCAAATATTTAGGGTTATGTTCTATCCCTGAATAAATGGCTAGTATTTATAGTGGAGCAGCTTTTATAGAGAGAGACAGGGGAGTGTAGTGGTAAGCAGTATAGGCTGTGGAACCTGGGTGACTTATATAAGGAAACTAACGGCAAGAACGCTTATCTGTGATTAGAACAGTGACTACTACCTCATAGGATTAAGGACAATGACAGTCAAGGCTTTATATAAGAGCTTCAAGGCACTATTAAATAGTTAACCTAAGTAACTTTGAGCTAGTTAAAGATTAAAATTTTACCTACGAGAAAGCAAAAACCAATTTGGGGGCAATCTGATCTGGAAAAAAATAATTTTACAAAATTCTCCCCATTTTTAATATAATAACTAGTTTTCTGACCTCGATTACAGAAGGCTTTCTTCTATTTATTATAGTAAGAGAAACAAGATTGAGAAGCATAATAAAGACAAAGCTACTGTATTCTGCCATCTATAATGCACTCCTGTGTATAAAGCACACCCACATTTCTGGCCCAAACTTTTGAAGAAAAATCATTTTAATTTTTTCATTTAATTTCTCATTTATTTCTATTTAGAAACAAAACCAATTATCATATTCCAGGGAATCATATGGATATCATTATTGCTTTTTAGTTACACTTTTAATGCATAAGCATAAATATTAAAAACATTTATTTAGATATGGAATTAGTACTACCTATGTATAATGTACATCCTTATTTTTCCTTAATATTTGGGCAAAAAGGTGAGCATTATACACAGCGAAATACAGTAGTTCTCTCTTCTCATTATTATTATTTCTTTGTATTGTCACCCAAGGTTGTATTTATTGATTTCCTTCATGTGCCCTGAATGGGGATCAAACCCACAACCTAGGTATGTTCCCTTACTGGGAATTGAACCCATGACCTTTCTGTACATGGGACAATGCTCCAACCAACTGAGTCACACAGACCAGGGCTCTTCCCATTATTTCTAATCCCACCCCCTTAGATAACCAATGTTATACGTACAGTGCTTTTTTAAGTTAATTTTTTTCAAAATTACTACAATGCTCAAAAGCTTACCTCCAGGTATATTGATGGTGGATTATGCTCTCCACCAAATTTGTCCAGTAGTGCCTCTATATGTTCTTGTGTCAATTTAATCATTTGTTTGATATTCCATACCTAAAAAAAATTTTTAAACAATTTAAATAAAAATCATTTAGAGTAGGAATTAGAAATACTTCAACATTTCTATTAAAACATTACAGTAACTGCCAGCAATACTTGAAATTTAGAGCTTAGAAAACTTAGAGATCAGTTAGTATAGTGGTTTTTCCCTTTTATTTAACATTTTACAATATTTTCCAAACTATTAATACAATATATTCTCAATTATAAAAAAACTCAAATACATGAATATTCAGAATAAACAAGAATCTCTTTTTACTTTTCCTACATTCCGGCCTCCCCTGCCAAAAAGGTAAGTGCTGTTTCCAGTTTTGTATGCATCTTTCCACATCTTTTTACTTGAGTAAAAAAACATAAACACACACATAAGGTCTGTCTGCAAAAAGCCCAGCTATTGTTAATATAATGAGAACAGTTTGCTTGATACATAATCTGGTAGGCTAAGGAGAGTGGACTGGAATGTACATGTATGAACAATGATGACTTCACTGTACTAGTCAGTGGGCGCAGCAGGCACTGTTGAGTAAGCACGTGTATTGTGTGGCCATTGCATTTGAAATGACTGGGAAAGTAGAGGTATGAATCTGCATCAAAGTCTGTGTTAAGCTTGAATGTTCCTCTCTGGAAACTACTTGGATGATTTAGAAGGCTTTTGGGTACAATGCAATGAGTGCAGAGCAAATAAAAATGTGCTGCAAATGCTTCAAAGATGGCTGAGAATCTGTTGAAAGTGATCCATGTTCTAGAAGACCCACAACAAGCAGAACACCTGGAAATGTTGAACGTGCATGGGCTGAAGATCGACAACTGACAGTGCAAGAACTAGAAGCTGATCTGGGAATTCCAGAAGCTACCAGGTCTGAGATTTTGACACAGGATCTTGGCAGGAAACGTGTCATGGAGAAATTTGTTCTGCAGCTTCTGCTACCAGAGCAGAAGGAACACCATGATTAAGTTGCTAATGATACTGTGAAAACTGTGCGAGGTCCCAAGGTACCTACTTTGAAGGGGACTGAGGTATCACTGTCCTGCTTACAATGTTTCTTGTATCTCATATCTTCTTCAAAAAATGCCTCTAGGGAGTGTCACACTACATGGCTAGATACTTTCTGCACAGGCTTCGTCACAAATGTAAAAAAATACTTGCATACATGCAGAACAAATACTGTATCTAAAAATATTTTAACATTTGCTTTTTTTCACTGAACAAAATGTCTCAGAACACTTTCCATGTCAATACATATATATTTTATTTCTTTTTAAATGATTATTATGTATGCATCCTCTTAAATGATTATATTAAATACAGTCCTGACTGATGTGGCTCAGTAGGTTGGGCGTTGTCCTACAGACTAGGTCCCTGGCTGGGGGCATGTGAGAAGCAATGGATCAATGCTTCTCTTCCTCTCTTTCTCCCTCCCTTTCCCTTCTCTCTAAAAAATAAATAAAATATTTTTAAAATGATTATATTAAATTTAGATACATTTATCTCATTTCATAATATTGTTATAACACTGCTTATTTCAATGATCTTTAAACTTCACTGGTAAAATAAGGTTAGGTGGACATAAATAACTTTACTTATACACTCCAAAGTACCTAACAAGAGGGAAAATACCTTGAAAGAAAAGCAGAGGAAAATGAAGAGCAAGACCTTGTTTTATCAATGAAATACATTATTGGCAAGGTCTCAAGACATCCATTTATTCAACCAGCCAGCTCACAATTCAGAGGTCCAGTGGTTGTAATATAAGTATGTATTACATATTTATGTTAAGATATATTAAGAAAGCCTATTTTTAATAAAAAATGAGTTGACTTATTTGAATGGTTTAAGAACCTACTTTGCAAATTACATATGTGGCCAAAAATGTATTTAACATAAATATAATACACACTAGAAATTATGGCCTTTAAAACTACTTAAAATTATAACAAAAATTTTGAGAAAATTTAAAAATGTATGAGGGGGAAAAATGAGCAAGAGTTTCAGAACCCCTGGATTATCTAATAATTCCCTTATTAGAGGGCATTTAAATTATTTCACTTTTCTCAACTTCAAAATGTTTCAATGAATAGTTCTGAATTGTCTTTTGGGACAAAGGTCCAAGTTTCCCTTTTATTACTAAAGCAAAAGATTTCTGGACTGAAGGATATGCATATTTAAAAACTGAATAACTATGCCAATGGTCTTCCAAAAGAAAAAAGGTACCAAGTCATATCTTACTCACAAGGTGTACATCCACCCTTTTCCTCAGAATCCCACCAAACTGGGTATCATCGAACTACTAAACATTTGCCAATCTGAGGGGAAAAGGTGATCTTGTTGTTTAATTTGTATTTCCTGGAAAGCTACGTATTTTTCATATTTATCTGCCATTTTAATTTTTTGGAAAATTCTCTATCCATATTCTTTTTCCCTCTATTTTTTCCTTGTTGATTTATAGATACATTTATTCTGGATATTCTGGACATTAATCATTCTCCTACAAATGCTGCAGTCTTTCCTTGTTTTTCACTTTGTACCTCTTCTGTCATATAATGTCTTGCGACTCAAATGTGTGGTTCATAGGCCAGATGCTGCATAACCTGGGAGTTTTTTAGAGTAGCAGAATCTTGGGCCCCATTTCAAACCTACTAAATGTTAACAAAGTAATTCCTATTAAAGTTTGAGAAGTGATTGTAAAATTTTCAAATTTTTGCTTCAATCAGATAATGCAGTATTTTCCTTTATGACTCCTTAGCTACTTCTCAGGTTCGCAAAGAGTAGCAGATGTCTGCTTTCCTCAAGCTACCCCAGGTGATCTTATCCAATCTTGTGGCTTTATGTCAAATGTGGACTGATAAAGCCCAAACTTTAAAGCAAGCTCTGTCACTAATATCTCTACTAAGAAAGCTTAGAGGCATCTCAAACTTCTCATGTTCAAAAACTAACTTCTAACCTACCCTTGAGCCCCCCAAATACTTGTTTTTCCTACAATCTCTTCATCTAAGACAAATTCTCTCTATAGTAAATTCACTGACAACCAAGGCAGAACTGCTTTATAGTAAAAACCTGATATATAAAATTGATTGTTTCAGGTTTATTAACTACTTTGAGACCAGAAACATGTTTTATTCATTTTTTATCCCTTCATCACTTATCCTGGGTTCTCAGTCCTAACAGGTACTCAATTAATGCTGGAGCTAAGATTTAAGCTGTCTTCAGAATAGAATAAGAAAAAAATTACTCCTGTTCAATGATTCTTTCCAACCCAGTAAATTAAGGGCTCTAGTACCCACAGCCTTTTTTTTTTTAAGCTCCACAGATAAAACTCATGTGCAGTTAGGATAAAGAACCACTCCTCTAAGGGATGGGAATCAGAAAAGAAAAATAATTTAAAAGAAAAAATTTTTGAGTTGGGAAATGAGCATGCAACTGATGTGTAGACCAGGGGTGTCAAACTCATTTTTACTGTTGGCCACATAAACCTCATGGTTGCCTTCAAAGGGCCAAATGTAATTTTAGGACTATATAAGTATAACTACTCCTTAACTAGGGGCAAGAAACTTGGTGCTGCTGCCGGGTTGAAACAAGGTGCTAGGCCAGATAAAACAAGGTGGAGGGCCAGATTCAGCCCGCAGGCCTTGTGTTTGCCACCTGCGTTTTATAGTGTGAGCAAGAGGGTGGACTGAAGTGGGGAATAACAAAGGGGAGAAATCAAGCCTCATATCCTCAACAGGAGAGGTTGATTAAATGATCAAGGAGGCATCTGGCTATGAGGAGGTATGAAGCAGGAGATACATCCACAGTACACTAATAAGCAGATCTCCACAGGGGTGAGGGGTGTAGGTTCAGAAGACTCAAGCCCAGGATGTATCAATATTCAGGGTCCAAATATTGACAGGGGTGTCAAAGTCATTTTCACCATGGGCCCAATCAGCCTCATGGCTGCCTTCAAAGGGACGAATATAGAGCTCCTTCCCCCTAGTTAAGGAGCAGTTACTTTCATACAGTCCTAAAATTACAATTGGCCCTTTGAAGGCGACCACAAGGTTGATGTGGCTGGCCCTCGGTGAAAATGAGTTTGATACCCCTGATTTAGAGAACTGGTAAAGAATAGAGATCACAAAAATTGAGAAGAAATAGACACTGAAGTACAAGGAAAACTATTCAGTGAAGAAAATTTATTGGATAAGAATAGAAACAAGAAATAGTGGATAAGCCCTGACTGGCCTAACTCAGTGGAATGAGTGCAGGCCTGCGAACTAAGGGCTCAGGGTTCGATTCCCAGTCAGGGCACATGCCTGGGTTGCAGGCTAGTTCCCAGCAGGGGACATACGAAAGGCAACTATATATTGATATTTCTCTCCTTCTCTCCTTCCCTTCCCCTCTAAAGATAAAAAAATAGTGGATAGAAGACACTAGGAAGAATGGAATTTATATATTTACATATATTTATTTGGTCACATTTCCATAAATTTGCATATATAACAGGGCTAGGAGATAACAGCACGTTTGTAGGCTGAAGGGAAAACCTGAGAAAGGCAGAAATTGAGGATGTGGAAGAGAGAAGCTAACTGCTGGAAAGAAGCTCTAGAGACAGTAAGAAGAGATGGAACTTGAGTCCCAGGAAGAGGAATTAGACTCTCAGGGAGTCTCCGATAACAAGCGAAGGAAGACAGGGAACATGAAGATCAACACAGATAGGTTTGTAGATTTGGTTGTGAGAAGATGAGCTGCATCTAATTTTAAAGTTTGATGTGAGGTCCACAGATGAGAGTGGGAGCCCTGAGAGCTTTGAGATTGAGTGGAAATTAACTGGGAGAGTGAAGCACCACAGTGCTGCCAGACACTGCTGAAGCCCCATGGAGGTTAATGGCATAAATTTAAAGCAGTACATTCAACTGCTTGTGAGCAGTTGGTATGTATTTTCTTAGGTCCATTAATTGAAAGGAACTAGAGAGCCCAAGATATTAGTAATTCTTATTACCATTCCTTACTAATATCTATA